CAGTTATAAATAGAACAGTTTTAGAAATGGTCTGAGCTTTATATTGCTTTTAGAAAGTTGTCTTCAGTGATCATTTGACGTTTTTTTCTTAGTAAATGAAACTTGAAGGAAATTTTTCTTTATAAAGGAGAAACAAACCACCAACTGTCTTTCAAAGTAGCTGTGTTTTGTAATCCCACCAGTAATGAACAAGAGTTCCTTTCTTCACATTTTGCATACTTGTGAGCATTTGGAGGTGCCAGTGTTGTGGATTTTGGCCATTCCAGTAGGCTTATAGGGGCTTCCCTGATGCATCAGTGGTAAAGAATCCGTCTGCCAATGCAGGAGATGTAGGTTTCATCACTAGGTTGGGAAGATTCCCTGGAGAAGGAAATCCCTCCAGTTTTCTTGCCTGGGAAATCCCATGGACAGAGGAGTCTGGCAGGCTGCAGTCCATGAGATTGCAGAAGAGTCAGACACGACTTAGTGGCTAAACAACAAACAGCAACACATTCCATTTTAGGTGATCTGTAACATCCATCAGCAGTAGAAGAAAAGAGGAATTATGAAGACCTAAAGTAATAAGGAGAATGGAATACAGAGGAGGTCATAAAGAGTCGGTCATGACTTAGCGACTAAACAACAAAAACAGCTTTAGGTTTATAATGGTATCTCATTGTTTTAGTATTCAGTTCTCTAATCATAAATGATGTGGACCATCTTTTCATATTTGCCATCTGTATATATCTTGTTTGGTGAGGTGTCTGTTCAGGTCTTTTGACTATGAAATTTTTTTTTTTTATTGAAGTATAGTTGATTACCGTTTTATGTTCATTTCAGGTGGACAGCATAGTGATTCAGTGTTTTTATTGTTTATACTCCATTTAAAGTTATTATGAAATAATGATTGTATTTCCCTGTGCTGACTATATTTCTTGTATATACTTATACAAAAATAAGTGTGTTCTTATTTCTTATCTATTTTTTCAGTGTAGTTTGTATCCCTTAATCTTATGTATCCACCTTGTCCCTCCCTACTTCCTTGTCTATTTTAAAAAATTGAGTTGTTTGTTTTCTTATTATCATTTTGAATGTTCTTTATATATTTTGAAATCCAATCCTTTATCAAATGTGTTTTTTGCAAATATTTTCTTCCACTGTATGGCTTGTCTTTACATTCTTTTGACAGTATTTTTTGCAGTGCAGAGATTTAAAATTTGGCGAAGTCAAGTTCATCAATTTTTTCTTTCAATTGTGCGTTTGGTGTTAGACTGAAACATCATCACCAGACCCAAGGTCATTTAGATTTTCTTATCTGTTGTATTCTAAGAGTTACATAGTTGTGCTGATATCACCCATCTCTTCTTGCATGCTGTCTACTTTTTTCTGTTAGAGCCTTTAGCATATTTTTTTGAACCTTCAGCATATTAATCATAATTGTTCTAAATTCCTGATCTGATAATTCCAACATCCCTGCCATGTCTGGTCTGATGCTTATTACTCTTTCTCTTCTGTGTTTTCTGCCTTTTGGTATTCCTTGCAGTTTTTTTCTTGATAGTCAGATACAAAATATGGGCAAAAGAAACTGTTGTAAGTAGGCTTTTAGTAATGCAGTAGTAGGACTTGGGGGAGGGGAAGTATTCTGCAGTCCTGTGATTAGGTCCCAGTCTTTTGGTGAGCCTGTGCTCTGTACTGTTCTGTGAGCCACTTCACTAGTACTTCCCAGTTTTTTGTTTTTGTTTTTTATTTTTTCCCTCTCTCAGGTGGTACAGGATAGCTGGAGGGAGCTGGAGTTGTATATTTCTCTTTCCCCACGTGAAAGACTAGAACAAGCTAGAGTTGGTTATTTCCCTTTATCTGGTTCAGTTATGCGCTGATAAAACCCCAGCAGTTTAGTCTCTGTTAAGCAGTTTCTCCAGACTTATTAAGAACAGTGCTCTGGCATATTTCAGAAAAGTCCCCTTTCCCCTCCCATTGCCAGAAGTGCCAAGGGGTTTGTCTTCAACATTAACTGTGAGGATACCTGTTAGGGCCCCTGAAGGTGGCACTTAGAGAAATGTCGGGGCACCTCCTGTAACTGGGTCCCCCTGGGGGTGTGAACCCTTAGAGTTGTCCGCGCTGAGATGCCGGCAACTCAGTAGTTAACAGTTCAGGTGCTCTTACCCCGGCACTGGGTCCTGAAGAGGTTTCCATGCCACTAAGTCATGATTTTCTGTGTCCTGCTCTCTCTCCAATTATGGATGCTGTTGTTTGCCCGTGACCTCACTTGTCTGATGGATCTAAGAAGAGTTGTTGATTTTTCAGTTTGTGGCTGATTTTTCTTTTTGTTAAGATGGAGTGGTGACTTCTAAACTCCTTCCATGCTGGACTGGAAACCGGAAGTCTGCAGTCATCATTTGGTGATATAATTTGTTACAGATTGATTTTTCAATTTCTTACACATCTCATAAACCATATTGAATATTATAAAAGTTATTTTTTCAAAAAGCCAAAAATTAAGTAAAAAATGATTTCTTTGATGACTTATAGCTCATAAATAGTCTCCATTCTAGCCATAATTTAGTCAAAATAGCACAGCCTACAAAACCTTTCCTATTTTATTGTTTCCTGTAAGAAAATAAAAATCATCAGAGTCTTTCAGTTTTTTAGTTACCACTACAAGGAATGAATATTCTGCTAATTTTTCAGCGTGCACATTGCTCTCCACTCTTGAGCAAGAACTAAACCAATATTAACTTTTGTAAAACTTTCACATCTAAAAAAAATAGGAGGGTAGAATGTTGCTCTAAATATGACATTTTGTAGCTCAATTTTAAAGCACAAATCCTAATAAACAGACCTTTATTAGCTTGTCATTCAGTCGATGTGAGAAAGGCAGGATTCTTCAGTCTAGGATTTCCCATGGCTGATTCATGTCAATGTATGGCAGAAACCACTACAATATTGTAAAGTAATTAGCCTCCAACAAATCAAAATAAATGGAAAAAAATAAAATAAAATAAAATATTCAAAAAAAAAGAAAAGCAGCAGAGCGGGTTTGCTGTATCTGACAATGGGCTTGAGGTGCTTAGTCTCTGAGTCGTGTCTGACTCTGCGACCCCGTGGACTGTAGCCCGCCAGGCTCCTCTGTCCCCGGGGATCCTCCAGGCAAGGATACTGGAGTGGGATGCCATGCTCTCCTCCGGGGATCTTCCAAACCCAGGGGTCTAACCCAAGTCTCCCCAGTTGCCGGCGGATATTGTACATTATGCTTCTTTAAGAAATTTGATTGGTTATTTTACTTTAAAAGATAATCCTATGATAAATTTTATTTTCCTCAGAGATATCTATAGACTATAAATATAAAGTCTGGATTTATTCTGGATGAGACCTGGTAAAGATTTACTTCAGTTTATCGTGTGACAGTAAATAATTAGAATGTTAAGCTAGCATAGCTAATTTGATGTTTAACATTATTTCCCATTGGTTTCATACCAACCCAATATAGGTTTGAAGACAATTAGAATAATCTAGTCAACAGTACCGTTGGCTAGCTACAATCACAGATAAAAGAGAAATATTTCACAGTAAAAAGTCTAAGGAGGAGTATGGTAATATATAAAAGGTTCAGTTATCTAAGGTTATTTTAAATGAAGTGCCGTTTAACGCTGTGTACTGCTGAAAAAAATTTTCGGAAAGAAGTATGTTCATGTCATTGAATTATTTATCTACGGGGTTAACATTAATCACTTGTGTTCAATGACTCAAAGAATACTCTTCCTTTTAAATTTATTATTAAGGAAATATGGGAGATGGTAGTCATTCTTCACTTTCTTACATCTAGTCGCTGAAATGCTCAGCACTGAGAAAATTCACAACATCAAATCACACTGTAATTGATGAATTCTTTAATCCAATATTCTATTATCCCTGCATGGTCTACAGTATTGAGTTCCTGTTTTGTTTTCTGAGAAGCTTATGCTATTTGTATTTGCAGCTTTCTGAGGAGCATTCCTCTTCTTTCCAATAATATTAAACAACTGAGTAACAATTAAGTTATTACCACAACAAAAATGAAATTGAGATGGCCAGAAGTCTGACTTTTTTCCTTCTCTCTGAGGTTCTTCTAGCATGTGACTAGAAGACCATAGATGATACTTTGTGCTTATGTACTATCTTCTATGGATAAACAATTCCCAAGACAATATATGCCTTTTCTAGCACAAAAAAAATCAGACTAGTTTCAAAAAACCTCAGCCTTATACAGGGTATTATGTCTTTGAAGTAAAAATTCAAGACATCACATAGCAACTATTATGAATATGATGGCAGGTTCATCCTTGGGAAAGGCATTATGGTGTTCATGGGCTTTGTTGAGGCTCATAGTCTATATATCAGTTAAACAGAAAAAGATTGAGCTTCAGTGAGATAATATTCTGCAGCCCTGAGTCAGAGAGAATCTCTCTTGCTGGTTGCCTGCTGAGGTAGAGTATCCAGTTTCCATATTCCTGTTCAGTTTGGCTCTTTGAGATTACTTTTAAACTTCGCATATCAGGCAAATGCTAGTATCTTGGACCCTTGAGGAGAGCATTGTCCATGCTGGGTCATCTATCTCAAGGAGTGGGTAAGCATGACTTAGAGTGGACATTCACAGGCAGATGCAGAGTTTTTCCTTCAAGGGATTTCCTGGGCACAAGAAGAGCTAACATTGCTCTATATCACAGATGATGGTAAGTATGGTCTATGGGCGCCTGCATCAGTTCTCAAAAGGTCCTAGTACTGGCACAGTTCTCAGAAGTGTGTGAATGCTGACTTCATTTTTCTCCATGCCAGTCTATTCATCTCTTTTTTATTCATAATGTATGCTTTGTTTGCTCTTGAAATAATTGCTGTTTCTTATTATTACAAAAAATGTTTACATTAACCATAGATGACCCTCTACTGTCTTTTTTCCAGATTGTATTTATTTTTCCATTAGCCTGCAATTCCATTTGAATATAAAGTCATGTAACATATTTGTTAATAATGTTTCTGCCATGCAGCCCAAAATTGTTCTGGATTGAGGACCTGTGGACAATGTTTGGAACAACCTGGGTGTGGCTGGTGCAATGATCCTAGTAATACTGGAAGAGGACACTGCATTGAAGGGTCTTCCCGGGGACCAATGAAGCTTGTTGGAATGCTTAATAATGAGATGCTTCTTGATACCAGTCTTTGTCCTAAAGAGAAGAACTATGAGTGGTCCTTTATCCAGTGCCCAGGTAATAAAAATATTCTGAAAGAAATTTTAATTTCTGCTCAAGGACACCAAGAATTACTTTCTTTTCTTATAAAAAGATTTAGGAAAAAAATAATAATGGAAATGAGACTGAAAATAAAGGATTAAAAAAATTCTTTCCTATATCCATGTTTGTTGTATAGGTGATAATTATGCTTGGAATCATTAAATAGGCTAACCAGATGCATGATATATTATTGTCAGATTTGGTTTCATGTGAACTATTACAAGGAAAAATAACATTGGTTCCATACCAAATTTCTATACTGTAGTATAGTCTTTTATTGTTTGTAATATAGTATCTTAGACTTCAAAGGCAACTCAGAGGATTCAGTCAAGCTTCATGCTAAGTATGGAAATATTTTGTGTAATATGCTTGATAGAGTCATTTGACCTTTGGTGTTTGATGTCATTTAATTTTGAAGGTCAGAAAAGTTTTTGGAGTTTTCAAAGTAGGAAGTTGGTTCTTATATGGAATAAAATCAACCTCTTGAAAAATTAATTTATTCAGTGTATTTCTATTGAGTGCCTACTATGTGCAAAGAGTGTTTTACATTCTAGGGACATAGCAATTTTAAAAGTTGACTAAAACCACTGCATTAATTGAGCCTAAAGTGAAAGTGAAAGTCACTCAGTCCTGTCCAGCTCTTTGTGACGCCATGGACTATACAGTCCATGGAATTCTCCAGGCCAGAATACTGGAGTGGGTAGCCTTTCCCTTCTCCAGGAGATCTTCCCAACACAGGGATCGAACCCAGGTCTCCTGCATTGCAGGCAGATTCTTTACCAGCTGAGCCACCAGGTAAACACTTAGTTGATCCTAATTGTATTCTAATTGAAATTAATCACACACACAGTGTGTGTGTGGTTATAAGTTAGACGGTCCTAAGTCCTACTAAATAAATCAAGGAAGGGAGATAAGGCTTGCAATTTAAAATAGAGTGGTAAGAGAAGATCTCTCTCAGGAGTAATGGTTATTAAACATCTCAAGTAGTTGAGGGAGTGAACCACAGGGCTGTCTGGGGAAAGAATGTTCCAGAAGTCACAAGGACTGGGTGAGATAGTTTATTTACAAGATGAACCTGGGAAGCATAATTGAAGCAATAGAGAGTTTCAGAGAAGAGAGGAAGACCAATAATATGTGCATTATGAAGCTGGATACTATACTGGGAAATATGAACTCAGACCCACTGGGACCTTTGAAGAAATATGTAGAATGCTCCTCAGGGTTAAACCACTGAAGGACTGGGAGAGTGGGGTATTGATCCATAACTCTCCTCCACTGAGAGTTGAGTGATGCCTTTGAGGGTGTTGAACTTCTGCGCTGTGCCAGCACGTCTGATTAATAGTTTGTCCTGATACCAGTAAACATCCTGAGGCAAACAGGCAGAAGATACTGTGGACTGCATTAGGTGAGGCGTTGACAGTGTGCTGCACTGAAACCAGTTAGGCTGGGGAAATGTGACACTTCTTCATAAACTTCGGAAGGTGTGAAAACTAAGACGAGGGACTAACTGCTGATTGATACAACAGCATGGCTGAATCTTAAATACATTTTGCCTAGTGAAAGAAGCCAGGCCAAAAGGCCACGTGTTGTACTATGGGGATGGAAAAGAGATGAGTTATTTGCCAGAAGTAGTAAAGGCAGAGATTGCCTTCAAGAGGGCTTCACAATGAAACTTTTGGGATTATGAAAATGTTCTTCTTAATGCTGTGGTGGTTGATAATGATTCTATACGTTTGTCAAGCCATACTGAATATGACAGAAAATAAACTTTCCTGACTGCAAATTAAAAAAAAAAAAAGTCAATCAGCCAGGATGTCAGAGGATGCAAGCTGTGACAAGTAAATGTAACTGTATTGCAAATGCCATAACTTCATAAGAAAATGAGCTGATCTAAGTAACCTTGGAAAATAGTGTTTTGTTTGGATACTGTGAAACTAAAGCAAAAAATTATATAAACATTATATTCTGATTGGTAAATTTGTTTCTCACATAGTACAGAATAACAATCCTAACAATACTTTATATGTTTACTAGGTTTGGACAAATATATAAATTAATTGTGTTTTGTGTCAGCCAGGTTTCTTTCAGAGAAAAAAGTTAAAAATATGCAAAGAGTGAAGACTGTAAAGAACCCTGTGGGGAATTCCCTGGCCCTCCAATAGTTAGGACTCTATGGTTCCACTGCAGGAGGCACAGAATTGATCCCTGGTCAGGAAACCAAGATTCCCTCATGCCCTGTGGCACAGCTGAAAAACAAAAAAGCAAAACAGAACAGAACCTTGTGGTTCTGGTTTCACATATAAGCATAAATTCAAGTTTATTTTAATATTTATATATATGTAGGTGTGTGATGTATATATACATATATTTTCTAATTTAGTTCTTCAAGAAGGCCTAGAAGCCACAGTGCCCCAGTAGCAATGAGCATCTTCTGTGCCCACATCCTGTTTTCAAAATACTGTTTCCAATGAAACGAACCAGGACTGTTTGGAGAAATGACTGATTCTACAACTGAGGCAGGGAGAATACAAGATTAGCTTGAAGTATTGTCTAGGCCAGAAAGTAAGAGAGTGCTCAAAACAAAACAAAGGAGAGTGGGAGCATGTCAAAGGGGCGTAGTCAACCTGAAAGAGTTCTCAGTGGGTCAAATCTGGGCAAAAAAATGACTATATTGGATTGTAACCCAAAGAACAGAATACATATCCATGATTCTTTACTGATTTAATGATGGAATAAATAATACACAAGTGAGAATGGATAAATATTTCCTACAGAAAATTCTGAATAATGTAGAATGAAGGACCTCCTTGGTGGTCCAGTGGTTAGAGCTCTGCGGTCCCAATGCAGGGGCCCGGGTTTGATCCCTGGTTGGGGAATTAAGATCCTGCAGGTTGCATGATGTGGGCAAATAAATAAATGAAGAATGACTGAAGGAAATAAAAAATTACTGTTAGAATCCCATAGTAGTTAAGTGCTGTAAGAAGAATCTGCTTAAGAATGTTCAACTTAGTGGGTGAAACTTTGAGGAAAAACAAGATATTTGTGTAGCTTCCAAGTATCTTCTTCAAAAGTATTTGAAGTTTGAACGTATGTCCACAAATCCTTGAAACTTGTTCCTCTAGGAACTGAACTGAAGTTGCTCAGTCATATCTGACTCTTTGCAACCCCATGGACTGTAGACTACCAGACTCCTCAGTCCATAGAATTTTCCAGGCAAGAGTACTGGAGTGGGTTGCCATTTTCTTCTTCTTCCTCTAGGAAGTGGAGCTTAATTTCTTTACCCCCGTGTGTGAATTGGACATGACGACTCACTTTTAATGAAGAGTGTGTGGAAGGGGAAATATTGTAACTTTACAGTAGAGAACATCAGGGGACATCACCTTGAACAAGTGATCAAGGTTAACACCACCAGTGATAAGTCATGTTAATATCGTGTACCCCTGATGTTGTGTGGTAAGAAGGACACTTCACTTTGTAATATTCTTCCTCCAAATCTGTAACCCAGTTTAGTCATGAGCAAACATCAGACTAACCCAGACTGAAGGACGTTTTTCAGCATACTTGACCAGCACTCTAGGAAAGAATCTGCTTCCAGGCTCATTCACATGTTTGTACAATTCAGTGCCTTGTGATTGTAGGACTGAGGTGACTGTTTCCAAGAGCCCCAGAGACCACTTGGGCTCTTAGTGATCATGTTCTCTTCCTCATCCCCCTTCCATCTTCAGAACTAGCAGTGTAGCGTCTCTACAATTAAAATGCAAATACCCACATCTTGTATCTCCTTCTTCAAGACCAGTGCCTTTTGAGGCGTTATCTGACCGAGTCCATTCAGGATGGTCTTCCTTTCTCAAAGCCAGCTGTGCCATGTGACATAATCTAGTCATCAGTCAGTGACGGTCCCATCATATGTGCAGGTCCCTGCCACACTCAGGACTTCCCAGGTGGCACAGTGGTACAGAATCCACCTGCCAGCGCAGGAGATGCAAGTTCGATCCCTGGGTTGGGAAGATCCCCTAGAGTAGGAAATGGCAACCCACTCTAGTATTCTTGCCTGAAAAACTCCGTGGACAGAGAAGCCTGGCAGGCTACAGTCCATGGGGTCTCAGAGAGTCAGACGGTGACTGAGCATGTTCTACCACACTCAGGACAAGGCCATTACCATTTGATTAAATAACTGAGGTATTACCCCTTACATCCATTGATGCGTTTGACTAACCAGCATACCATACGACAGTTGACCCATTTATAGTGTAGAACTCAATGGATTTTAGCATATTCACAGACTTTTGCAACCATCACTACACTCAGTTGAAAAATATTTTATCATCTCCCAGAGAAATCTTGTACTTCCTAGCGGTCACTACCTGTTCACCCTGCCTACCCTTGTCAGCTATGGATTGCCTATTCTGATCATCTTAATAAATTGAATCCTACAGTTGTAGTTTTTTTGCCTGCTTCTTTTATACTGGCATGATGTTTTCAAGGTTTGTCTGTGTTGTGGCCTCTAGCAGTACTTCACTTCTCTTTATTACCAAATAATATTCCATCATGTGAATATGCCATGTTTTATTTATTCATTCATTATTTGGTGGATATTTGAGTGTTTCTGGTTTTTGGTTTTTATTTTATTTTATTTTTTTTTTTAATTTATTAATTTATTTATTTATTTTTAATCACAACCATAGTGTATCTTTTTTTTTTTTTTTTTTACATGTATTCCCCATCCCGGTCCCCCCTCCCACCTCCCTCTCCACCCAATCCCTCTGGGTCTTCCCAGTGCACCAGGCCTGAGCACTTGTCTCATGCACCCAACCTGGGCTGGTGAACTGTTTCACCCTAGATAATATACGTGTTTCAATGCTGTTCTCTTGAAACATCCCACCCTCGCCTTCTCCCAGAGTCCACAAGTCTGTTCTATACATAGGAGTCTCTTTTTCTGTTTTGCACATAGGGTTATCGTTACCATCTTTCTAAAT